TGAGTCTACTGAGGTTTGACGTTATGCTGCACAACGGCCGGCACGAAGCGGAGCTGACCTTGACTAGAAGTTTCATTGCAAAATGGCCAATCATCAGACAAAATAGTCAGCTGCAATTTGGAACATGTACTCAGAGTGGGTCTGAACCAGTGAGTAGTACAACACCTACTACTCACTGGTTTGAACAAGAATGGCTACAGTGTGTGATGTGCTTAGTTGCACATGTGATCAGCGGTCTTAAGGTCTCTCTCGAACCAGCTGCGAACCAAGATCGACATTTTTTAGCACCCCCCCCCCCTCCCCCTGCATACGCTCCTGCATTATTCCGCCGCAGTTATTTTCCTGGAACCGCAAGGGCTACATTTGTCGTACTTTCAACACAATAATTAAACATGTGCTTCTCGTCCGGGTGACACGTCCTTTGGATATTAAACACAATAATTATTTCCTGATCCGGTAGAACTTTCGACTTTCTCATTTAGTCGATATTAGTTGGGTCTTTGGAGGAACATCTTGCGCTCATGTGAGGTTTGTTCGATTTTCTGTGGTTATCTGGAAACACTTGGCTCCCGTGATAATTCAGAGGAGAGGTACACATCCGTCATCTTGGTGTCTTTTGCGGGGTGCAGCAGCAACAATGGCGGCAATCTTGGCGGGTCGGGAAGTGGAAGTCAAGGCGTTTGGCATTTCGTGCCAGGTGGCAAACTCGCCGAAAGCCTGACTAATGTACTATCTGAAATGCATATTCAATGTGATCGGGGACGATGACCTCAGCGAGGATGCAGGCCGTCTGTCTCGGTACGAAAACTGGCGCAATCTGAGCCTGAGTCAGACACACGCCTTGCTGAAGATCTGCACGGAGATATCCCCCGGCATGCTGGAGGATAAGTAATAGTTGTTCTTTCAGTCCGACCGCATGTGTGGCTCCAGCAACAACGAGTTCTACAGCATAGAAGAGGCCAGCACGTTCTTGGCCGTGGCTAGCTCGGTTTTGATCGCTGGCAAGCAGCGTTGTTGTTGTTGTTGTGTTTATTTTAATTCGCAAACCAAACGGGCAGACCTGCCCAATGAAAAGGTGGCGAATGCAGATAGAAAGCAGTAATAAATGAAATTGGGGACTGGTGTAATTAGGATAGAGGTGGAGAAAAAGTAAGCCAGCTGATCATCAAACAGGACGTTTGGTACTCTAGGTACTAAGGCCAGTAAGTGTGTGCGGGATCATGCTGGCGCGGAACTGGCGGAGCGTGGAGATGGCACGTATATCGCTTGGTAATGTGTTCCACAGCTGGGCGCCCCGAAACGCGATGCAACCCTTGCCGAACCTGGTGGCGTAAAGTTACCGAGATCATGACGTACAAGAGGGCCTGGATGCATCACTACTACTGACAGGCGCTCCGTGAGCTACGCGGGCAGCTTGCACCACCCAGACGTATCCACCCGGCACCTGCTCGACGCAGCAGCAACAACGACGATTGCATCATTCTCTAGACGCAAGCCAGTAGCCCCCTCCTATCCACGCCCACTCCAATATAAATATATTCGGTGTGTTGAGGAATGGGTTCAGGTGCGATGTGATGTTTGGCTGGCATTGTGTGCTGTGAAGTGATCATTGATCATTGACATTCATGTTTCTACCTTCTTTCCTTTTCACCTTACTTGCTCTGTGATGTGCATTGTTTTTTCTTTGAATTTCGTACCGTGTAGTACCAATAAAACATAGCCCCATATGCAAGCACAATAATAATAATTATTGTGCTTATTTTCATCACTCCTTTAGAAGGTAATGCGTTTCTTCACTTTGGGAATAACCAAGAGTGTTGAGGCTGGAACTGCATTTTGTGGGCGAGTGTGTACCGTATGTGTGTGTGTGTGTGTGTGTGTGTGTGTGCGCGCGCGCGCGCGTGTGTTAATGGATGTCATACCTGCCAAGTACTGAGAGTGCTTTTTCTGGATCGCCATGGCAAATCCCTGGACTTGTCTAGCTTTCTGGGATACGTCATAGTTTTTCTAACATTGCTTTTTCTAGGGCACAACAGATTACTCTTTAGCTAACGAATGAATGTTTGTGGTAGCGATAGAGCTATCTCTTTCATTGCACCTATAAGTAAGAACAAGAGTACATTTATGTAAAGGGGACGTTTGAAACTACAAATAACTTCAAATACATGCAGGACAAAAGGATTCACAGCCATTGATTTATACAAAAGAAAAAGGACCAAGGAACTACAAGTTACGCTATACTGTCCACTAACACCACCAGTTACTAAACAACCAGCTCATGCGATAACATTGCACGACACTGACCGACGGTACTGACGTTCTACAACTAACTGGCTAACAGCTCCAGCACATCTTGGATGTGCACTCCAACAGCCTTCCAACTTGGAAGGTTCTAAGTTATAGAAATAACGTAAGCCTTTGATTTCGTCGTCTTTTCCTGCTGACCGATTTTAATGCCTAAAGTCGCAGTAACCTTTCGCAGTATAATGGTTACAGGGATTGTATTTGCATACTGCTGAGGCACAAAATATCGACTTTCGGAGAATTCGGTGTAGGCCTTGACGGATTATGCTAATATTTTCGTGAAATTATGCTTTTCGCGTTGCTGAAAATATGGCAGAATTATGCTATTCTTATGCTAAAAGTTATCATATTATGCCGCATTATGCTCGCATACATGTATGATGGTTCTGGGCAAAATAACAGGGGAATGTTTTTGTATAGGGCGTTGTACTGTAGTAGCAAAAGTTCAACGGGGTCAACGCGCCGTCCGACCTACAATTGTAGCTACGACCATCACTGATTGTAGTGGACTGGACATGTTATCAAGGGAGACGACTTCCTGGTGTATCTACTTGGTACTTGTACTTGTAGATCATGTACAACTGTATGGAATTTGATGCGAACAGGCGGATTATTCCAATTTATGCTATTCGTATGCTTTTTGCCTCGAATTATGCGATTATTCGATTTTGGTAGGAATTATGCGAAAAATTATGCTAGCATAATCCGTCAAGGCCTAATTCGGTGTGAAAATTGCATATTCGGCGAAAAGATCGGTGATTTCTTCAAAACCACAGTTTTCGGCGAATTTTTCGGCCGGCCGATTTGGGAGATGCCTACACCCTGTACATAGCACCACACCAAAAGCGAAACAATGTCTCGTGGCATTAATACCGGCGTTGTCAGCAGCCTCCTCATGTTGCCTGATGATTACAAAGGCATGAAACTCAGAGTAGCAGCAAACTAGCCTCGCCTCTGCTTGTTCTGTGTAAATATTCATACACAAATTCATACACGTACATATCTCACACATAGATGGGTGATGCGTGGTGCTGTGTGGCTTGTGTGTATTTCATACATATATTTCCTGAACCCCTTGAGCGATTCTATCTGTCTCCGTCTTCCAGTCCCAGAAGACAGAACAAACTGAACATTAAATACCCCTTTGTACGTTTTTTTTCTCTCTGTTGTTCCGCAAATCCAGCATGCTATGGAACTGTTTACCCCCATCTCTCACTTCTCTAACCTGTCTAACCAAATTCAAACATTCCCAGCATTTTTACCAACACATTCGCTACACTGATGGCATACCACTTCCTTGACTTCCTCAATTGCTGGCAAGCTTCTCTTTTTTGTTTTCCTTCTTTGTACCTTGGTACTCTGTCCCGAAAAATGAATTTTTTTAGTAGGAAATCCCCTTGACACATAGATGGGTGATGCGTGGTGCTGTCGTCTAGAGTCTCTTGGTAATTCTGTTTTACACAATAAATCCAACACAGAAAACGAATACGAACAATTGTCGCTAGTGCGGGCCTAGAGTCTCTGAAACACCTCTTGATAGGTATGCCTGGGTGTTGATTACTCCAAGTAGCTCTTCATCTCTTACCATCTACTTCGAAGTACAGTCTACACTAGCCATGGTTTCTTGCTTCATAGGAGACTCCCACGATAAGCATTCATTTTTCTTTTGGAGAATCCTTTGTTCAATTTATTTGAAAATAAATTGAACAACAATAGAACTTGAGAAGAAGTAGCGACGACTCGGCCATTATGGAATCTAATACACCACACCACCACCATCTCAGGAGAAACAGCTGTCTGGAGGGTCATTGTCAATATCAATCTATAAACCGGAATTGTCCTCGCTGTGGTGATGGTGATGTGAGTGCAGAGTTTGGATCGGCCAAGAGCGCAATGTGGTGGTGGTGGTGGTGGTGTGGTGTATTGGAACAATAAAACTCGCGCATGTTATCTGTTACACGACATGCGGCAGCACGGAGGAGAAAAAGAAAAATGAAGCACCCGCGCCCGCGGGGACATTCACTGCCACAATACATACGTCACTGACGTGAACCCTGGTGTACTGGGACAATGGCATTGGCATTGGCATGGCTATCGCCTTTGCTGCTCTACAGCGCCGCATATCGTCCATAGCTAGTTAGATATCTTCCATACACTTGAAATGATTTCAACTTACTTACTTCAAGTAGATCTAGTTTAGACCTTCCACAACCACTGTGCATACCAGAACAGCGGATCGGTCTCGTTACGTCGTTGTGGGCCACACACAATGATCAGAGGTAGCACTGCGCGCTGAGGTCACAGTAGGGGTCACAGTTCAACTTCAGGTCAAGGAGTAGACTCAACAATGACGTAGTTACGTGTACACGTGGGTCTAGATGTAGATCTACATGTAGATAGACATTTGCGTGAGCTACTTACTTGTACTACAACTACAGTTCTGGCAAGTGAAATCCGACCCCGGATCAGCTGAGCGCACGGCTCAGGGGGTCGGATTTCAGTTGCCAGAACTGTAGTAAGTAGCTCAAGTACATGTAGTTGTAGGCGGAAGGTTTTTTAGATCGGTTCTGTTCTGCTCACTGCAGACGATTCACATACAGATCATGAGTGCTGCACGTCGACAATGCAGGCATTCAACCACCGTCTCTCGGTCAGCGACTTCTTTCTGGTTTCGAATTTGACGACCAGCTGAGGGTTTGTTCGTCAATGGTTGTCTGCTCGGCCACCACCAACCAGGACTGTGTCCATATGCGCTTCCACTGGAGAGTGAAGTAACTGACGCGTGTGACCTACCTACAGCCCTGTACCACTACTATCGAGCTAAAGACAAGATGGTGAGTGCTGTACTCGCTCCGGACTAGCAGTCCGGGTGCTCCTCGCTCGGGGTTCTCCCTCATAATAATTTTTAGAAAAATGGCTCGAAGATTCCACGTGCAACTCATATAATTATAATACCGGTAGTCCGTCATATGTTCGTTCGCATGTATATGTTCATCATGCGGGAATCTCGGTCTCTAGCCGAGTCTCACGCGAACATTTAATTTTTTTAAAACTTAATGTTCATTTGGCAAAGTACAATGTACATGTATGTTCAATAGTTTTGATGTTCGGTGTGTGTTGACCGCCATAATGACAGACGACTTCAAAGAAGTGCTATTTTCTGAGTACGAGCACTACAACTACTGGTACCGAGCAAAGAGAGGAAGTTCGGTAGCAAATCGGAGCTGCACGTTGTTCATGATCATCAGGCAACAGACGGCCTACATGTACGCGTATAGCAGTCTCTTTGAGCAGTGAAACTCTATCCACGTTTTAATGGCAAGCACTGGTAGCAATATTATGAAGACTCAGGCTGGCGGCAAGAAAACGTATGTTGTTTCTAATGGCAGATTTCTACAGTATTCAAATGGTTCGGCAGCTTGCTATCTAAAATATTGAGTGCCTTCACGCAAAGATATTAGGGAGGTTTAGTTCCCACGTAACGGAAACGCGTAGACCTACGTGGGTGATACACGTGAAGTGGATGAAGGGCATCCATGTTGCAATGTCGTGTTTAGTCACACCGAACAAACAAAAGCATGAAGCGAAAGGCCCAAACCTGGTCAAAGACGAAGCTACCGGGGCCTAAGGAGCTCATCGAATATTTTGATTTCGTGCTTCGGAAACTTCTTCAGCAGAGCACCCTCACAGCTCGCAAAATGCGCTCCATTCTGATTTTCACCCACGTTCTGGCGGAACGTGGGTAAGCCTCCATACACGGTATGTCGTGAATCAGATAACGTCTGTACAGTACGTGGGTCGCTGAGTATCACGTGGTACACACACGTGAAGTACCCACGGATTACGTGGGACTAAACCTCCCTATTTTTATGTAAAACTTACATGTACGACCGTGTACGTTTTACATCTCATCAGCAGAGTTTGACTCTGATGAGTAACTGGTCCAATCAATATCTAGTAAACAAGAAATATTTTTGAATTGCCTTAAGGCATCAAATTCATAGTGGGATGGCTGTGAGAAACACAGCGAGATATTTGCATGCTTTACACTTTCATTTAATATTTTAATTTTCTTTCCAAAGCCAAGGTCCCTGGTTTGAGTCCTCGTGGTGACGGTCAAATGTTTCTTCAGACTTTCCCTGTCTATCCCCTCAACTAGTAAATATTTCTTTCCTTTCTTTGTTATTTTGTGAAAGCTTAGACAGTTCACTTGTCGCGGCAAGAAGGCAGCAATGCACGTTCATTCGGGGAAGTAAAATGGGGGGGGGGGGGCAGTAAACTTTGACCTTTCTCGCTAACCAAAAAGAGCCTCAACCAAGTTTAGCCAAGGGGGCATACTATTTCTCCACCTGTATATGTCTGCATTGAAAGAAAGGTTTGATGAACTGTATGCCATGGAAATGCTCAATGTGCCCTGTGTTTTTTTACATGTCAGGGCAAGCGGGCCCAATTGGAAGCATTTGTGTATGTATCCATATTATGTTCATGTTCAGAAAGGGGACATTTGCATCGGTCTGCTGATGCTGTTGTTAGTCGTCTTGATGATCTCTCCCTGTCGCAGTGATAAAGGTAGGGCACGAAACTCAGAAATGAACCCATTCTTTACAGGAAAGTCTATTGCGAAAGTTGAGCCAGCGTCAAATTCTCGTGGAGTATGTGTACAGGCCAAATCTTTGTGGAGTCAATCCGGCTAAATTCTATGAAACACAGTGATCATAGTCGCATGCATTACGTGGCATCGGGCAAGCTTCTTGCATGCATTGTTTGTGGGGTAAAAGATAATTTGAAGCTTTGCTTAATAATAATATACGTGTATACCTTGGTACTGTACTGTACTGTTGCAGGTTCCTGACACATTTCGCACATGATTTTGTATTTGTATTTATATCATTATCTCATGGCACATCATGATGACGGCCAGTAAAACTGAGACAAGAGTGAAAGCCAACCACAGTAGTAAAACAGATGAAAGAATACAAATAAAAGGCAAAGAAGGCAAAGGAGGAGACAAACCAGCAGGATGTCCTGCAAATACATTAAACCTATATTTGAGCAGAGATTTTAGCAAAAAAATAATTATTATCCATCGACGTGCTGGTCTTGGCCCACGCTGGTAATGTTGCCCAAAACACACAATTTGCTTCAAATGTTTATATCGCACCTCGCATTTCATACCAACACGGTCTCAGCTACGCGGCTTGGACTAAGCGAATGCTAGCTTCGCGAACATCACCCATATTTACACGACAGTACTCCTTTCTATACATACATCTACATCTACTGTTCTTTCAATCAAATGAACCCCTCGATAGGCACATTGCCTTTGGGTCATTTCATAATAATAATATTGCTCTCTCTATCTCTCTATCTATCTACTTCGAGTATCTATATATCATCAGTGGAGGATCGTGACGCGAAAATCGATTCTGATAAAACTGATTTGAGACTTCTGTTATGTGGTGATGACCGCGGAACTCAGACTAGTTATTGCTTTCAATATTCTTTTCTCTCGGCCATCTGATACGTGTGCATGTTGGATCTGCAGTGCGGAAAACGATTCTGTAGATATGCTTAGAGGCACATCTTGCACCGTCTGCTTTTTCCTGTCTGTGCCGTTGTTTCAGCATATGGACCCTGCAGTGGTGATGACGAGTTTGTGATGGACTCCAACAAAGGCTCTAAGCCACAGTGCCTTTGTCACTATGGATACCGAAGGAATGCAATGGGTAGATGTGAGTGGCAATTATCATTGTTTTTATTTATTCATATTTTACTAGGACAGTCCCCACAGACCTATGGTGTTCTTGCAGGGTGCCCTAGCCACGTGAAGATAGCAGAGTGGAATGCAGCAGGCAGGGACATGGTGCGAATCGTGGCAGGCAGGGAGTTCCAACGGTCACGTCCAAGATAAGATATGGAGTGATAGCCAAATCACGATCTGGCATGGGGCAGTACCAGGCCGAGTCATCCCTGAGAACGGATAATTCTAGCAGTGCATGGTATTGACCAAATGGATTAATTTATTGACCTGTGTACCGTGTTTTCCGGAGTATAAGCCGCACATCCAACACCAGTAATTCACCCCAAAACATCGGTGCGGCGCATACTATAATGGTCAAACTAACGGTGGTAAATGGCGTAGATGTCAGGATTTCGTGACAAATTGCACGATTCAGTTCATGTGAACGTCAAGCAAAACACAGACCTCTATCAGATGCATTACAATATGACCATGTAGTCAAGAGCTGCTGCTTGCCTTCTTTTTTTGAGAGATGTCTCTGCAATTCATCCTGTATTCGATTTGTGTGGCTAGAGTATTGTGAACACGCATGATGTTTATTACGGGTTGTGGGTTTTTTTCTCATTTCAGGCCAGCCATTGGTCCAATTTTTGATTGACGCATCCTCCCAATCACTATGGTTAGCACCTAGGAGATCGACGATATTTTCGTACAGCTTCGCCAGCACTTACAGCCACTGGATTGGAGAACTCCTAATTGATAACGGCGTTGTGACCAACGGCACGTTTCTGAATGCCAGCAACAGTGGTCCTCTTGCAGTTGCAGCGCGAGGAGTTGCAGTTGTCTTGCTCGACTCCCCATTTACACCTGATGGTTGGTGAATTGAAACAGCATTAATGCCCCGTCTAGCTGAAGGGGATATCATTATTTTGTTGTACTGAAAAGCATGCTTCAGACTGCACATCTGCATGTTAAGAATCTCTATTTCAGGGTTAACAAAAGGCTAATGCCAATCGGGGAATCTCCTTTCTGTGTTCTACTAGTATGAAACAATAAGAGGACAGAGAAAGTGTTTAAACTCTGAGTTTCACGGACTAAGCGATCATCAGAAAACAGTAACAGTTACTGTGTTCTGATGATCGCTCAGTCCGTAAAACTCAGAGTTTAAACACTTTATCTGTCCTCTTATTGTTTGAACCACCTCTGCCTCTCGGTATTGAGCACTCTCTTGGACAGCCTGGAACCTCTCTGTTTTGTGTTCTAGTATGAACTTGGAACATAGTAAAGGGGAGGAAGGAAAGAGAAAGCATGCAAACCTATGATTGCACATCAAAGGTGTACCAGTGCAGTCGAATGGATACATCTGAGATTGGCTTTGACTGGGATTGGCTTTGACTGGGATTGGCTTTGACTGGGATTGGCTTTGACTTGGGTTTAACACCAACGTAATACTATGATGGCAATTATAGCAATACTTTGGATACATTCTGCCACCATAACCACACATCAGCAAAGTCATGAAGGATTTGCAAAATGAGCCGCTGAGGATGCTTATGGCACGCGACATCAAACTGAGAAAGTGGAGTAATATTGAGAGTACCCATTTTCTTTTTGAATTCAGTTAGTTTTCGTTGCGATTTATCAAGCTTTTTGAATGCGGTTTTTGCAACGGAAGCAGTGAGAATTCAGCCATTGCGCTGTATCCATATCTCAGTTTGTGAAATTTTTGCCACAAGCACCCTTTTGTCATGATGCGGCTCAAATGCAATTTCATTTCAAATGAATTTGTGGAGTATCGTGACTAGAGGTTATCCATAGGGTAAGTGTTGTGTACAAGATCAGTTCCACTTCTATATTTGCCTATGTGTTACTCTTCGTCTTTCGCTTTGGTCGCAGATGACGACATCATTGCTAGGACGTACAGACATCAGTGGCATCTCCTCAGACAGATCCGCAGTAACAGTAGTAATAACTCAACCCTCATTGAATTGACCTATCTCCAAGAAGACAGTACTGCCAGCGAGAGTTTTAGTCGCCGTCTCCAGTATCGCGTGTTCTCCACACATTGCTACTCGGCTGAAAGTGGGGACAATCCCGAGTGCAAGTACAAGCCATTCACGTCCACCATGGCATACCTAGGATGGGGTGAATATGAAATGGTGACGTACTGCAGCCGGACAGAAGGTGGTGCAATGGAGTACTTTGGTTACAGTATTCCGTTTCCAGTAACAATAACACCAGTAGACGAGCATGTTCCAGCAGAACCTGCCACAGGTATGTTCATGCGATGTCTCTAGTGTTGCTCAGAAAGCATGTCACTTGCAATAAAGAAATCTTTCTTGTTTTTTAAGCTTCAATGCGACTATATAATTTTGGCCATACTTCCAGTTGAAATTAAATTTGGTGAATATTGGACGTATTTATCTGCTGGATCAAAATCAATGTGTTTGTTTTGTTGCCGAACATTGTTGCAGGGTGCTTGTTACTATCCCCAAGAGTACATAACCCCCAGCCTAACCTTAAACCAGGATGCAGGCATGAATAACAAGTTAGTGGGATGGTCGAAGACCATGATTGAGAAACAGACTCACCTCCCGCCGCTTCAGGGCTGCATCTGCGCCTTTACCCTTGAAAGGTGGTGGCGGTCCAATGGATGCGGAAAACTCGGCCTCTAGTCGAGCCTCACCTAAACCATGAATTTGTTTAAACCCTAAACCTTCCTGCCCCCCCCCCCCCCACACTCCAGGGGGATACGTAACATTCCTTCAACTACACTGTCATGCTGTGCAAATGTACATACTTCTGAAGCAGGTTTTATTGATTCTGGTATTTCTGCAGACCATTGTTCCTATTTCGCAATATTCAATGGAATGCAGTCTTCTGAACTAGGCTACTGTTGGGCTGTTTTGAAGATCAGGGGCTCTCTTGTTTGTGCATGAACATCAGGATGCAACTATCGGATTTGCTATTTCTTTCTGTACTGCCAATTTGCTTAGCGTCCACATACCCTATTACAAATACATCAAGTGGTGGCAATGGCCACGCACCTGTGAAAGGCCACAGCAAAAGGAAAGTCATCGTGGGAGTGTCCATTGCCATGGCCATTGTTGGTGCGCTGGCGTTTGCAGCATTGGCATACTGTCTTGACAAACGCAGGAAGATGCCTCTCAAATACTTCATCAGCAGAGAACCCTCAGGTAGGGAATACTTCTAAGTAGTTTTTTTTGCTGTTTGTGACTCTGAGTTTCACCCAAACTGTGGGACAATCATCAGACGGAAGACATAATTATCATGTGTTCTTCTCTCTTATACAAAAGAAAAAAGTCCATTCTTCTTTCTTAGTTGTGTATAATTGTCTACAGCAATGAAACTGGAGTGCTCTCTTGAGCTTGCACAAGTCGCTCCAAGTCCTAAAGCCTCTTTCACCAAAAGAGTAGGCTAGGCCTCGACCAAATATGCTAAAAAAGAGCGTATTATGCTCGTCGCATATCAGGGAAAACGTCCATAATATGCCAAAGGCTTAGCAAGATATGCAAAACGATATGCCCAAATATGCCAACATATGCTCGACATAAGCAGAAAGTGTAAATCATTTCAGTAAAATTACAACCTTGGAATATTCATTGGCTTCACGGCTATCATGCTTATGGTGCAAATCAAAACACATGCGGAATAGTATGGCTGGGGCGTGTCCCCAGCAACCGTAGCGATAGTGTTCATCCATGGGGAAATGTAGCAAACGCCTCAACCAATTCCAAATTCATCCATAAAAGGCATTTCTGAACGCATTTTGTCCATAATAGGAATGTTTTGTCCTCATTTTCTTCAGAATATTTGAATTATATGCTGGCCTCATTCCAATATTCCCTTTGTCGCTCAATATGACATAATTATATGAACTGTCTCACAAAATATGCGGAAATATGCGCAAGCATATTTGGTCGAGGCCTAGAGTAGGTACTAAACACATCAAACACACAATACAGAACTGGTAAAGACTTCATGACACAAATAGGGAGTGAAAAGGGAAGAGAACGTGCACACACATCTTATAGACTGTGTTTGAGATGATATTCACATGTTTTGTTTGCTTAAGTTTAGGGCATTCCAAATGAGCACAGTATAGGGAGTTGAACCCAAACCCTAGTGCAAGCAAGTGGCAATATCTTAAATCAATCACCAGAAAATAGCAATCACCAGAGTATACTAGAATCACATTGAGTTGGTTCGCATAGTGCAGAATATTATGTCAGTCAAGTGACATTGTTGAACGGGTTTTTGAGATGGCAATTTAGGAAACGACGTCCGTTGCTCCTACGTGGTAAGTTAACTGTTACTTCCTGCGGAACTTTACTGCTGACGCATGACCGTGATAGATTGAATTAGTAGCTTGGAAATAACACACCCTCTCAACCGAGAAGAACCTTGTTTTATAGCTCAAGGTGTTAGACAGAACACCAATGAGAATGTGAGAAGAACCGAAGTGTCAAGTAGGAAGGAAGTGTGAATACTGTCTGCATGAGAGAGGGGTGTGAGATGCATGCAATACATTGATGGGTGAAGGTGAAAACTATAACATGGCAGCCATCTGTACTACCTCTAAGTTAGCATTCTCCCAAGGTATTTGTATTTTATTATATTATTTTGAGAATTTACCAAAGGCTTTGGACCTGTCGAGGGGATCTCCTATTTGATCTGTTTAGAGCAACAGCACATTGGCAGTGATGCCATTGATCATAAATGGCAGCGGAACCTAGCCTGGTTAAGAAGAGCGGGACCAGCAGAAGCATTTTGTGATTGGTCCGGCCATACAATGGCCTTTCATACTTCGTGTATGGTATGGGGGATACACAATGTCACATGACCCCACAGACCTATGGTCTCCTTATGGTACCCCGTAAGGAGACCATAGGTCTGTGGGGTCTGCCCTAGAGAAATATGAATAAATATTAAACACTATACTATACTATGACCTCCTCTGAGCAGTAAACAAGGGTCGGTGGAAAACAACTTGAGGTTGTTCGGCCGAAGCCTGACCAACATGACTGGTTCCACCAGGCCAGCCTGACGATTGATTTCAATATCTTGGAAATTTATGCTCAGCCCCAGTTTCACTATCATTCAACGAGATTAAAGCTGCTCTGTAAATGTCCACATGTCTGCATGTACAATTTGCTGTGGCTGTACTGCAGTGCTCCAGGAGAATCAGTTTGAGATGACAGTTCGCAATAGCATCACATCAACAGATCTGAGCCAGCCAGAGTTCCAGACAGGTAGGGTCGACATGAACACTGGTCTAAATTGTGATACAGTCAGACCTCGCATAACCGCACACATCCGTTTTCCAGAAAAAAAACATCCGGATAGGCGAGGGAACCGGATAATCGACCACACATACTGTATGTGTGCATGTCCTATGCTGTGAATCGGTAACCAGCGAGTATCTTCCGGATGGCGAGGGATCCGGATAAACGAGGTCTGACTGTATGTGTAAAATTCGTGTTTATACTAAGCCAGTACAATGCTCACTATTCGTATTTCCCGCTCCTTCACCATAGTAATGAGGTCCCATTAAGGTGGCAGACTACCCAAAAATTCGCTGAAAAATCGAATTTGTAAATTCATATCGAGTGCTACGTCAGTTGAAAGAGCATGAATAGCTGCAAATTCTCTGAAAATTGTGTCCCGATCTGACCGGCCGTTCAAGAGTTATGGCCGAAAATGTGCCCTTGCAAGGAAAGATTTTTTTGTTGCACGCTGTCATTTGTTGGCAGCACTGTATTTGAATGTGAGCAGACCGTGCGCAACTTGTCGTATCATGGAAACACGTGAAAGTGTGCAGAATTTTGCTATAAGTCCAAAAAATCAGGTTTTTGAGCCACGTATTGGGCTGCACGGCGGCGGGCAAAGCCCGCCGCCGTGCAGCAAGACTTTTGCCAGCACCCTCGTGACGTTGCAGATATGTGGCTTGATTATTGTAGTTGACGTTGATTTAGTAACTTTGGCAAGTTTGAGTCGTGTCAAGAAGTCAGGTAGGATTCAGTACTAGGCAGTAGTGAAACGTGAGTGGTAGTCTTTGCCGGTTTCTGAGGGTATCCTGGATTTGGTGTGCAGCGCTGTGGAAATGGCTTGCTGTGGAGGTCCCAGCACTGGATGTTGTATCAAAGGTACGACCTCGTAGCACGTGCTAAACCTAAAAAAAAACAAAAATTGACTTGGGTCTGTGGGAGTGTGTGAGAGAACGCCCACTCGTTCCGTTGTGACAGATTCCAGGGCCTCGTTGAGGGGCCCTACCCCATCACCTATGGCTGCTTCTGGACTTGTTCTAGGTTTGAGTCCCGCGCACGAACAGAATGAGCACGAAAATGTGAAAAAATTGTAAATGCATTTGTTTGGCTCCTGGGTGGCTCGCACACCGTGGCGCTATGCCGGAAATTTGAGTTTTTCCGGCCTGGAAAGCCTGTCAGTGAGGCGCAAGAACTTGTAAATCATGTCCTGAGGCCAGCATAGTGGCAGGAGTGTGTGGTCAAAATTTCACTCAAATCCATTGAGAAACACCAAAGTTACGGTCAATTGAATGCCATATGAAATTTATGGGTAGGCTGCCCCCTTAAGTATAGAAAACTGAGTGCATGCTCCTGTGGTTCCCTAGTCTTCGTCCTCGTTGTCTTCTCACTCTTGTCTACTCTCTTGTCTAAATACGTCATCCATAATACTCAATACTATAAAACCCCTGTGTTCTGCAAGTGTGAGGGGACTGTGTGCAGCCAGGAGCTAACATACATGTACGTGTAGGTACTGACGTTGACCAATACTCTTTTTCACATACTCACTGATGAAGCCTCAATGGTAAAATTTTTGGAGGCTATTTTTGGGGTGAACTTATCGTCTTAGACTGTACTGGTAGCGGTGGTACTGTATTGTGTTTAGGGGAAGTGCATACCGTAGACCTTGGTGGGTAATGCTCGAAAAGGTGGCAGATTCTGCTCGAGAAGCAGTGAAATTGGCAGAACCATACAAACCTTATGGCGGGCAATTCCTCGAATTCTGCTCCATTTCTTTATCCACAGACCAAACATGCATGAAACGTACCAGAAAAAGTACCGAATTCTGTTTTTTCAGTGTTTTGTCGATCAGCATAGAATGTGCGATCAAGTGCAGTATCAAGCTTGGATACGGCGACCAGTTTACAGTCTTATTCCAGGCACACGCTAGAGATGTTGTTACACGGTACACACACGAGGCCATGTACCGTTTGTCTGTAACCGTTTTTAAAGGTTAGTTACACAGTTTACGCCGTGCATCATTTCGCAGCTCAGTGTTCGCAGGTCTAGTATAGGGCTGTGCAACGCCCGGCGTGTGCTTGAGTGACACGACTGGATTTCAGTGAGCAGTACTGCATTTTATTTTATTTTATTTAGGCCAAACTAAAGAAGGTGTGTGGTTCGACTAACATGGACATTTTTTTTACGGGCGGGCGGGCGGATTTGTTTTTTAAATATATTTTTTAGTACATGTAAATACACTGTACTGCCTTTAGACACCCAGTACATCGGCATTATTACGCAGTGTTATGCCATACATGTTGTATAAAGATATCACTGGCTAATACTTTGAACCATTGTGTAGCTCTAGAACGAGAAGAGAATAACTTCAAGCGGTGACTCTGACTGTCCAAATCATCAAGCAAATGAAGAACGATGCGAGTTGAAAGTAAGTTGGGGAACTACTTCGAACTCAATCGAAGTACAAGTTGTACAATGTACCGGTACATGTATTGCTAGTTTGGTGTCGGCGTGCACGAATACATGGGCTTTTTCCATCGACGCTTCCTGTGCTTGCACACATGGAGCAGCAACTTACCGGTACAGGTGAAATATCGTTCCCAATACACGAGGAAAGTGCAATCTCTATCTCGCCAGTCTGCCGGTGGTCGTATCGAGTAGACTCTACTACCAGCACAAGGCAGCAGTCGTACCACTCACTGCACTGCAATGCAGTACAACTACAAGTCAAGTCCAAAAGGAGCCGCCTGCGTCCGCAGACTCACGCTGCACAGCACGTAGACGTGGACGTGTTCAGTCCACGTACGTCAGTCACACGACAGCCCGCCGAAAAAAAGTTACGGTCGGGCTGAAAAATGTACGGTCGGTCGGGTGAGTCGAACCACAGACCTTCTTCAGTGTGGCCTTATTTATTTTTTATTCCAAGCAACACATGGCTGGGGTAGCCAATGACCACTTTGCGTGGCGATTGCAGGGTTTTTATAATAGCCAACCATGGCTTTTTGTTGCGATTCGACTTTGTGCTCAACTGGTCCTGCTTGTGTACATGCCTGTAGGAGCTTCAGTGACCAGGGAAGTGAACTGGACATACTTGAAGTACGTCAACTACAAGACTGAGGACCAGACGGATGATTGTGGAGATCAGGGCAGAACACAGTCACTGGCTACAACGGGTCCACTGGCTGTGCCTCCGTCATCACCAATATCTATACTCAACTGGGATGCGGTGTCCGTGAGCACCTTAGACTCAGTACAACGAGCCATGTCAGCCAACAGGTCGTGGACATGTACACCTGAACCAGCTAGCTGCCTTGAGGCTTAGAACACAGTTGTCCAATACATAATACTAGTAGCATCATGAAAGCATTATTAAAGGGGAAGTATACCCTAAAATCAAATTTTCACCAGTTGTAGTCTTCGGGGTGCTGAGTCGAATGGTCTTGGTCCGAGGAAGCTGCGACGCTCCCTTCCTACTTGAATTCCAATCGAACTCGCGCACTTCCACCGAAACTGGGTGACTGCGCCCTACTAGATGGGGATTTGTATGCAAAATGTCACTAAAAGCGCCATTTCGTTCTTATAAAAGCACGGATGACCGCGATTGGCCCATATGTTGTAGTCTTTTGGACGCTGAGTCGACTGGTTTTGGTCCGAAAAGGCTGCGATGCAGCGTTCCTCCTTTATTCCCAATCGAACATGGTTGAAGAAGCGGTCACGTGGTCCTTGTTGCCCAAATCACCTGATCACCGCGCCAGCAGGCGACAACTTTCACACCAAGGTTCAACTCGAGTGACAGGACTGCACCCAAAAAAGGTCAAACAGGCTAGTAAGTTGTACCCTGCAGGCACGGTGACCAGGTGACTGGTGTACGCAGGAGCACGTGACCGCTTGTTCAACCATGTTCGATTGGGAATAAAGGAGGAACGCTGCATTGCAGCCTTTTCGGACCAAAACCAGTCGACTCAGCGTCCAAAAGACTACAACATATGGGCCAACCGTGGTCATCCGTGCTTTTATAAGAACGAAATGGCGCTTTTAGTGACATTTTGCATACAAATCCCCATCTAGTAGGGCGCAGTCACCCAGTTTCGGTGGAAGTGCGCGAGTTCGATTGGGATTCAAGTAGGAAGGGAGCGTCTCAGCTTCCTCGGACCAAGACCATTCGACTCAGCACCCCGAAGACTACAACTGGTGAAAATTTGATTTTAGGGTATACTTCCCCTTTAAGCAAGCCTTTTGAACGGTCCCTGTTTTCTAGCTGACAACTACACCATGGCATAGCGGTAGGGCATCACTGGCCTTATGCCATGGTCCCTGGGTGGTGCCCTGGCTCAAGGAAGTCATTTGTTTCTTTTTGGAGCAGAAATTTGTTTCAAACAATGAATTTTTCAGTTTCGAATTATTTCGGCTGACTCCAGAATCCCTTCAAGATGAAAGCTGGAATTTGCTTTTTCCTGAAAAGGTATAGATTTGTGGCGCAGACGGTGAGAAGTTGTAATACCAAAATAAAACCTTGCACACTGGGAGGGGGCACTTTGATGCACCATATTTTACAATCAATACTGCTCAGTATCACTTGTAACATGTACCCACCCATGTTCCCTTGGAAACACCCTCAGAAGAGCCACACCATACATTCTTGTGCATCGACATTGCTCAGGTACTGAAGTATCAATACGTCATATTCTTGGCTGTTTTTCGTAAACATTTCGTGTCCTTTGTCCTTCTTTCTTGGTCCCAATGCCAATTTCAATCCAATGATGTAAGGGGTTACTATTTTTTTATAAGATTCTGTGAACAAGGCTAGGTTATTCTTACGAGCACGTCGCTGCATATGCGTGTGTGTGCGTATGCGTGCGGGAGAATGTGTGTGTCTGTGTGTGTGTGTGCACATTGCGCAAAAAAGGCAAGGAACACCTGCTAACTGTTGATTGCTGACTGAAATGCTGTCTATTTCCTAAATCGTTTGTTTGGCGTGTTGGCCAATGTTGTACAATCTGTGCTCACTGACGAAATAAAGTGCATTGATTGGCAACGTTCCTGTCTTGAACAGAAGCTCACAAATTTATGTATCCAGTGTGTCGATCCCAGATCCACCCCAATCGTACATGACTGCATTGTCCACGTACTGTCCGCTGTACATCGTCTAAATATTTTTAAAGCCTCTTTTTTTAAGCCTCTTATACGGGCAATCACAGAACATGATTTCACTGGCCTGACCGCGGCAACAACTGCACAGCAACAAGTGCAAAAGCAAAACAAAGCAAAAAATTAATTATTTAAATTATTTAAATAAAAAGAAAAAGAAACTTTACAATCTGCACACAATGACAACTCTATTTTTAAGATAGTCTCTGTTGATCAGTCGGTATCCGTTACCCGTCCGCTACATCGTCTAAATAGTTGTTGTAGGGAAGAAGCACACAGCCTCCTTCACGGGAAAATGCGATAGACATATTTTGTTTAGTGGGGAAGGACATGTTTATGAGTGCTGCTCAAGTGAAACAAACCATCAAGGATGTGGAGAAATGGAATTATTTCATGTTGTTGTTGTTGTTTTTTTATATTTTAATTCAAGACTGCCTTCTCACTGGGGCTATTGGATCATGGCTCTCACACTATGATGTACATGTATGTGCCATGCAGGATGTTAAGTCATTGCAATAACTGGGAACAGTGCGGTGCGTGAACTGTGTCGGTATGGAATAAAAGGTGACCTTGAACTGATTGATGTTTTTCGTACTAGGCACAGTTGCCGGTACTAGTACTGTAGTAGTCACCACACAACACGGACGGAGCTCTGCGTAGTTAACTAATCCCAGCCATTCCGGTCCTGCGCAACCTGGTGTACAATATACATAATTATAGTTCCTGTTGCCTAGGCGGTGTCGTTCATCGATCAGAGTAGAAGTGATTAGTTTGCCAAATATTTACAAACACTGTTGTTGTCGTGGTTGTTGTTGTGCCCACCATTTTACTTGTTTCCATTTTAATATTCTCCTTGGCTCACCATCTGAGTACATACAACTCTGTGGTATTTTATTTAGCAGTATCTTTGGTGTTACATCTCTCACCCCCCACCTCCCCACAGCGTAACTCTACAAAACGATACAGTACAGTAGGACCCCCAATAACAACCGTGATTGACGTTTCCTGAGTAGTGTCTCGCTAATTTACCACTGAAAGTTGTCTGACAATCAGCTGTGACTCTTTTTCTCTCTTCTCTCGGCTGCTGCACCTTAACTACTCTCCACCTGTGGCCAGGTTCACCAGGTGCGGTGTGTTCCGCGTCCACGCGCCAGTTGGGAACACAGCTTTAGCCATGAATGCAGCAGCGTCTGCGTCCACAGAGGAAGTAACAGCTCCACCACAATAGTGCAGCCCACCAGGGTTACAGTGCCGAATGTGTACAAATTAATACACAGAACATCGGAACACAGTACAGGACGGGTAGTTTGTCATCGCACCTCGTGAGTGTCACGATTTGAACGTTCATCAGTTCGTTAACCGTTCAAATCGTTAAACGCCGAGATGCGGACAAAACCTGCAGGTTCTTTGATGTGAAGAAGAAATCCCGGTGTAGCCAGTTGGAGTGATGAGTGATGAGTGATGAGTGATGAGTGATGAGTGGACGTCACACTCTAACGTTACGTGACAGTACATTAGGTATTGTACAGACAGTTGTAATTATTATGTTCCGTAAGTGACTAGCGATACGTTCAGGATCTCACACTTGGAGCAACTGCGATTTGTGTGCCTGGCTTGGGCGAAGCAGAAACTGTGAGATCTTTCCAGTCTATTACATCGGGAGATACTTGCCGTCCTCTGATCACTTTGGGTGCAACTATAGAGCAGAGAGGCTGAGGACGTATCCCTCTGCAGTTTCTAAGTATGGAGGCTGCTTTATGTAGGATGCACAAGCTTCTTATCCTCACTGTGTTTCTCTCTCACGGAGCACTGTTCTCGTTTTCCTGTAACTGCACATCGACCAATGACCTAGGTGTGCCTACACCATCTTCAGTTCATGCTTTCCAGAACTGGCCAGTTGAAGATGATCAAGAAGTAACCCGGACGGGCTTGCAGCGATTATTTAGAGATGCAGGCGTTGTGGACCTCCCGTCGTGCGTGAATGTGATGACAGATAAGGCGGAATGTGACGAAATGTCTACAGTAGGCAAAGTCTACACTCAAACAGTCCATGTAATCGACTTGTGTCTGGATGCAGCGTCCAAATTGGAAACATTGCTCCAACAGATGAAGCAAAGGTCGCAGTCACCGGTTAATAGCAACATATCCTTTGGAAGTTCGGGGCAGCTAACAGTAAATATGGCTACGCTGGAAGTGGCTAGAGGAGAATGGCACAGCAGTAGCTGCGGCAAGATCCTTGGTCGATGCTCACATGTGAACGGCTCGGAAGAGCGTTTGCGGCTTTATCACGTGCTCAGTCATTGCTTTCGACAAGCTGTGGATATTATGAACTCTACATTGTGCAGCATTGAACAGGTCTGTCGGATCAACGCTCTCCAAGAGAGCATGCATGGATCAGGTACTAATGGAAGTATATTCCCGCTCGCCGGCCTATGTAATGCGAGAGAATGTCAAACCGAATGTACATGTACAAGGTCATGGAATACGTCGAGTAAACCTCTGGCCATATCCCCGCTATCCTGCTATCTGCACCAGTCAGCTGCGGTATACAGGTTAGTCAAAACACTGATATCCCTGGCAATCGCGGAGAAATTTCTGGATCGCTTTCGACTGGGACTCTCGGCAACGCTTCGTCCAAGCTATTTGTCTAGCTGGAATATTTTCTCAGAAATGTCTCTCGCGGTGTGCTCCTCTATCTTCATTGACACCTTTTCAAACGAACCAGATTTAAAACTATGTTCGCGTCTATGCTACGACACATTTCAACTCCTAACAGCTCTCAAAGCCATTCAACCAGACGTGTTTGAGGCCAGATCACAACAGGGAAGAATACTTCAATTTCTCGAGGAAGTATTCAACACACACTGCTGGAGACCAGAATCCAGACAGTGTGCTGCTGGTAATGGATCATCGACTTCGGAACTTTTCCAACGAAACATGACGTGCATTATGGCTATCCCATCGCCCAACAGTACACACATTGTAGGACACTCCGTATTAGTAGTTGCTGCCCACAAATACCCATATTGTACGTCCACAGTCTACATCAACGTCTCATGTCAATATCCATTCGTACCAGTCTCCAGTGATGCACTACAATCTGAAAAGATGAAATGGCTGGCCGCAGAACTAACTAGGACAGCGTGCGATGCTTTGAACAGATCAGACTGTGCAGTTCCCAGCACGCTACTGCACTGCAATATGATATGCGAGGCGGTGTGGTTCCAGGAAGCACGGGACACCGGACTACTCCAAATATGGTTAAACGTGATCTGGGCGTTTGCTATTGCCGCCTGCATTTCCACTGCCTTCGCACTCGTAACGTTCATCCGAAACTATCACCGCATCAGGTCCCCTGCACGCCGTGCAGTAGTTTGTATGAACCTAGGAATCTTCATGTCACTTCTGGACTACTCTCTTGTGCCCTTCAAGCGTGCGTCAGTCGTTGTCAACGGTGCCTGTACGGCCGAAAATGCCATCACCGTCCTCGAATCCACTGGAGCCAGTGCCTGTGGTTTCAGTTCCTTTCACTTTTACTTTTCAGCGCATTTCGTGATAATATCTGGAGCATGCGCAGGGCATGCATGGCATTCGCTTGTCGTAAAGTTGACATCAGCATCCTCCTCCTTAGGGCAGAAAAAGTGGGAGGAGCGCCTGTCCTATTTATACTTCGGGTGTGCCCTTACGCTCTCGCTAATCGTAACTGGAGTAATCATGGCGGTTCAGAGAGTAAAAGGCACTCCACCGTACTATTGGTGTACGACCGATGTCAAAACGGCTTTCTACACGTTCACTGTTCCTTACCTCATCTTGGCTGGCTATGGGCTAGTATGCCTAATCACCAGCATACCACGCTTGAGAAAACTGATGAGGTCGCGGCGCAGTTTATCCTACCATTCCAGCCGACGATGTCGGGCTGGAGGTACTGCCTCTGAGACCCGAAGAAAAGTCTCCAGCTCTACCCGCGGTCTCGTTCAGCTGCTCAAGCTACTCTCCGTGTACATGTTCATCGTGTCCGTACACATCTTGGCGCTCATTGTCGATCGAACTCCTGCGTTCATCAGCGAGATCAGAGACAGCTCCCTGGAGCTGGACAAGGATGGGACGCGTACGCACAGTGAGTGTCTGATGAGCAGTAGATCACCAACTGAAGACTGCTCCTATATTCAGCAAAGAAGCATCACGATTGAGATGACGTTCCATATCGCCACGATACTGCTCTGCATCGTGTTCAGCACGTGGGCGTATAACTGGGAATACTGGAAAGATGCGTATCTATTCCGTACACTGCGTGGCTCGCATTCCCACGGAAGCGCAGGTGCACAGGGATTGTTTCATGTGGTACGACGTCTCCTGGCTCTGAAGCACCCCATTATCGGAGCAAGGGAGCAACAGGAGCAACACACGCAACCCCATTGTTTAACCCTTTCAACTTGTGACGGTAGCGCGACAGTGCATGGTGTTGATCAGTGCCACCACCCCACCAACACCGATACGATTCGTGAAAGCAGTAGTATTGATGAGTTGACGACAGGGCCTTAAACATTGACTTTCCATATCGAGAGAATTGAACGTTTATACTCAGCTAAAATAGCTTTTTAAAGAATATCTAATATCTCCTCGTCATAATTATTATAATGATTTTGTTGCCATTTTTGTCATGTCGCGTTTGTTGTCATCATTTCCACCACAATTGAACAGGTCAGTATGAGTGACTGAAGTTAATTATTTGTATAGTATACGCTCGGCATTCAATACCTTCCAGGTGCATTGGATGATCTGATTGATCGCAACTTGCTGTCCTGTTGCCAATGATTTAATCCTTGTACTTTCTCAGGGTACAATGGGATATTTGTAGACCAAGACCAGTACTTGCTCTACACGTAAAGTAGCGTGGTGCCTTCGTGGAGGTGGCAGAGTGTTTGTCAGTAGTTGCAGACGTTGCACGGTTGTAAACCTTTAAAGACAGACTGATGATATTCCCACTGGCATTGGGTTCACAGCATGGAGCGCATTCGACCACAACCATTGTGTACTTGGATGGTGGCACCACAAATCCTGGAGCTAGACCAAAGGCATGCCACTTGTTGTGCGTCGACATGGCCTACGACACACAGTCTAGGAATGCACACCAGTGATCTTGTTACGCATTGTTGTTAAATTTAATTTAAATTCGCAGTTACTGAAGGAGCCAATGTGGTTGATAACAAAGAAGCAAATGAATTTGTCATGAGGTATAAAGGGAAATCGACAAGTAGGTATGATGTTCAATGCGAGCTCTAAAGCACAGGGGCGTACGTTTAGGACAGACGTATTTCCTAGATATAGCGGTGGGGAACATTTAGAGTCACGATAGACACTGGATAATATTAATTTTATTTAGAAAACACGTAATATCTGTTTAAATGCTCACATAAGAGAATAACAGGCCGGATTCTAGGCACAAGAGCAGACAGGCAGCTGGACCAACGTACAGGCCGATAGGCACCAGCTAGGTTCACAGACCAGGGAATCCGCAAAGCAGAGAGGCAGATAGACAGACAAAATAGCTGATCAATGTAGTCACAAGAAAACCTTTTTTTTTTAATTTCGGCCAGTCGGCTACTATCATTTTGTCTTGGGTGTAAGACAAGGTGAAGTAGCCATGTAGGGGCGTGAGCCCGCCTGTCGGCACGGGGAGTTGCAGCTCGCTTGACTCTACTGAGTGAAGAGAACCCAGACCTTGATCTGGTGAGCTAGCTGCGTCGTGGAAACTTGACAAACCCACGTACATGTGTATACAACAGACATCTTTGACATCTTAGGAGGGAGGCAGAGGCAGACAGAAGGGGAGACAGCTGTATACTAGTATTCTTCACAGCCATGGCAGCACACTCACACAATCACTCCATGCTGCATCCAAGCTGCACTCATCCGTGGGTAGGATGTCACTGCGTTCAACAGCCCGGCCGGAGCTGGAGAGGTGCTTTGAATCTGTCGTCCACAATCTGCCTAGGGATCTTCAACATAGGGACCTGGCAGTCAGTTGAGCAGCTCCACATCTATGGTGCCGAAGTGGGCGTTTTGAGTGGCATCCGTGTCACCGCCACTCTGTAGTAGATCATGCATAACCAATACCTCACTCATCACAGATCTCAAACGACCATGTTGGGTAAGGAACTCATGGCTAAGCTCGTTGCTGTCACCGCTATCAAACTCCCGCTCCAACTCCGCCGGCGTCGAATTGGTCTTGGAACAGTAGTTGACGAAATGCTCACAGTTCCACTTCCGGAGGTTGTACTTGCCGAAAGCATACTCGTGGTCCTCTCCAACAAACCACTCAGCATTTGCCACTGCCCTGTTCTGGTCCAGCTCAGCGAGATAGGGCGTATCAGAAATTCCGTCAACCTGGATGGCGCTGTTCCCATACGGCATCACGCAGACTTTTCCTGTTCGTCTCTGATCCTGAATGTATTCGAAGTAGGACACCTCATCAGCCACTACTCTCCCTTCGCAGCCGGATAGTGCAGAGATGCCCCAGTTCGCCACGTCCATTGTAAACCTCCGGAATGTTCCTGTGATGCCCTTCATGATTTCTGTGCCCTGCTTCTTTGGCCTGACAGCGTACGACACGACCTTATCCAGACGGGCAGAGTAGAATCCTGGAAAGCAAATGAACACAAACCAGGCAGCAGAAGTTCAGAGTATTTACAAAGTGGAAACCCGGAAAAACAGAGGCAATTAGCTAATACAGGTTGTGCAATAACATCATCAATTGAAAAGATGATTTGGCAGAGTCGCAGCACAGCACGATGCACTAGCGACTCACTAGCGACTCAGTCAGTACACATAGCGCCCAAAAGCGGGTCCTAGGCCTTTGCGAAGAATGCCCGCAGAAAATTGGCAGAATTCGGTACTTTTTCTCGTAAGTTTCATATGCATGTTTGGTATGTGGCTAAAGAAATGGAGCAGAATTCGAGGAATTGCCCACCATAAGGTTTGTATGGTTCTGCCAATTTCACTGCTTTTCGAGCAGAATCTGCCACCTTTTCGAGCATTATCCGCCGGTGCGGCTTTTGTTGAAGCTACACACTCTGGGATGATTGTACTCATTGTACTCATTGTACTCATTGTACTGTGCTGAGCCCTCGTGGTGCACTGTTCCAAAGTGCCTGCAGCTGACTACTACTAGGCGCAATTGCCCAGCAACGGCAGAAAATAATAATTCCATGATTTGTTTTTTCCAGCTAGAAAAAAGGTCTTGATGTCTAGAGAACCACAATGAACAGAAGCAACTGTATCGATATACCACGAAGGCTTACAAGGCTTTTGTGAAAAACTCAATAATTATTACTTGTAAGCCTTTGTGGTATGTCGATCCCGCTGGTTCCGTGCATGCATTGCGATTCTCAAACTATTCTCACCCCGCCGCCTTTTGCCAGAGAATCTGATCAAAAATTATTCGCATGATTCAATCATTGCTTACCGTGATGCCAATAGGGTATAGTGCGTCCGATGACGTATTTTAGAACGACCACATGGTCTCCGTTTCTCAGCTGATTCATATCCCTCTTGATCATGCCTTCAAGCGGTAGACAGTCCATCGTGTCGTGCTTTTCCACATGGACTAGCGCAAGTAACGTTAGGAGCGGATCCACTACAAACACAGCAGTTCAACAGTCGATGAAGCTAGGAGACTGGGGGAGTGCTTCCCGAGTTCCGTAGGACACTGTGTGCTGTTAAGGTGAATAACGGACGTTGGACATAAGGTGCAGTATTGGACCGAAAACTGAGAACTCAATCCCAAGACAAGCGCTGAAAACAAACAAGAGATCTTGTCCTGTACTTGTATTTATAGGAGCTGGCTATCACCTGTGCTTTCAGCAAGCACGCACTATCAGTATGCGCAGGTGCTCTGCTGGCGATTTGCTCGCGCGCTGTTTTGTTTTGTGTTTCGCTTGCGCTATTCACATGCAGGATTCAAGGACGTACGCTCTGGACGTTCATGATAATTCAGGGCAGGCGTTTGTTTGTACTTGTAGTCTATTATAGTACATGACATAACCTATGGTGGCAATGCATTCCATTGCTGGCACTCTGACAGTTAGTCGTTGCCGCCCTTCGGCTTGGTGTTTTCCCTCGGCTTGGTTATTCAGCTCAGATTGTCAGTGTGTGTGCTTACGCGAGTCTGTAGTGTAGGTTGTCAGCAGAATAGCGCTCTCAGTTTGTCAGCTGCTCCCCATGCCATGCCCCACTACAACAACAGTAACTAACCGTTCGAGGCCACCCTCTGCTCATGACAATGCAGCCGTCATGCACGCTCTTCACATCTACGTACAGGCTTCAGTTCTTGAATGAAGCGCGGTGGGCGCACAACAGCCTGAACAGCAGGTGCTTGTAAGTTGTAGGTGCCGTTCGCGCCTCCCAGGGAGTTCCCCTCGAGATGGAGGGGGCCAGGGGAATTCTTGATCCATCCACCTCATACATAGTAGTAGTATGACTGTGCTACTCCCCGAGCGTCACCATGATCGCTCAGTCATGTACTGAGTCTGTGTCTGTGTGTAGTATTCGTCGAGTCCATGACACTGCCACTCGGTCTATGACTCATTTGGGGGGGGGGGACATGACTTTCTACAACGCCAACACTGGCAACAGTGGAAAGGTCGACAAGAGCAAGGGTCAGGCTTAGCCCCTTCCCAAAGATTAGGCATATGCGGATAATGCCGGCAGAACAATTGGCAGAATTCGTTACTTTTTCTGGTAAGTTTCATGCATGTTTGCCTCGCTTACATACGGAGATACACTAACTATACATCAGGCAAAGCTCCGTATTAGTTCGGTACTACTTCCGTATTGGTCGGGCAGGGATACTTCACCCTCCCTTCCTACAGATAATCACGCCCTCGTGATTTCATCACGCCCTCGTGATTTTCAAAAAATTAGTGAAGAGTTACGAACACAGCGTCAACCGGAAGATGGCAAATTATATCGGAAATGATAACGTTTAGAGTAGACAGAAGAAATGAACTGATAACAAATCATAAAGTAGAAGCACAGTAGGTTCACACGATCTCACGGGGTCAAAAGGGGAAAGAACTGTCCTCCAAATAGGACCTGAAAATCCACAGCACTCTTGCTGCACAACGCTGGCACAACCCGCCAGGAACATCGCAGGTCAAAAACCGAACTGAATACACTATAACTATAAGGGGCGTTGTCACACACATTGTCCCACGTTAGCTGGGTAAGCCGTGGCTCACCATGATCAGACGCCTACCAAACTAAACTGGATTCACACACTCGCATAAAGGAAGACTGAAGAGAACAGGGAGACTGAAGGAAGACAGGAAAGAAAATGCCATACCTGGAATCAGCGTTAGTAACCACGGCGGCGGCTGGAGCTATGGTGGAGGGCGAGCCAGGTTTTATCTTCATCTTGGTTGAGCCGGTCACTCAGAGCGGCTAACTCGGCGTCAGACAAATAACCTCCCTCCTCGTCTTGAATCATGGTCTTCACATTGTCGATAGCATCGCTTTGCGCGACGTAAAGAGTGATGGTCTAGCCAGGAAGAGTGTTGACGAAAATCTGCATCCAACCACGGAGACGAAGTACCAAGTGAATAGTGGACTCCTGCTGAACGTTGTAGTCACTCAGGGTTCGGCCGTCTGCCAACTGCGTGCCGGCGAAAATCAAACGCTGCTGGTCTTGGGGAATACCCTCCTTGTCTTGGTCAGCAGCCTGCCTGTTGTCGTCTTCATCAGCTTCGCCATCACCACCGGTAGTATACATGTAGGTAGCGGGTCGCTTGGAATCGCCATCGGAGTCTCCAGTGAGTGCCGTGCGGAGAGAAGGGTGATCCACGCTAGCACCCTGACTGTGCTGCAGGCTAATAAGCAGGGCCAGGCCCAGGGAAGCAAGAAACATGATTCTCATCTTGATTCGTCGCACGGAGCTGCAGCGTGTTGAGCCATGGGCGTCTGGGGTCGAATCACGTTGTTTTATTTAAAAAATACACCGCTGCCACCAATGTAATGGGTAGCCGAGTGGTAGGCGCGGTGTAATCAACAAGAGTTGCTTTTATTCTATTTCTTTCAGGTACACACCTGAGATATAATTATTAGCGAAAGAAGAAGCGGCAAAATAACTGACTTTCTCTCCGGTGCACACCTGGAGGTTGAAAAGCTCGTTATTATCAAAATTCCATCCAAACAGAAATGCGCAGCAGCTTTTGATGCAGCAGACGCCGTACGCTTACATACGGAGATACACTAACTATACATCAGGCAAAGCTCCGTATTAGTTCCGTACTGCTTCCGTATTGGTCGGGCAGGGATACTACATTTGTATGGTTCTGCCAATTTCACTGCTTTTCGAGCAGAATCTGCCACCTTTTCGAGCATTATCCGCCAGTGCCTAGAAAGTACCTTACATGTATATTCCGGAGTAAAAATAAATCGGATACATGTAAAGGAAGCTTACTGCGCCGTTATACTTTTCACGTCAATCAATCCTTTTCTGATGTACAGTGAAACCTGTCTAACGCGACCGCTCAAGGGCCCTTCAAAATGTGGTCTCTGTTACCAGGTGGTCTCCTTATCCAGGGTCAATTGACTGGAAATAGCATCCCTTGGTCCTGGTTGCAGTGGTCTTCTAGGACAGGTGGTCGCTTTATCCGAGTGGTCGCCTTAACAGGTTTTACTGTACAGAGTTTGTCAGGTGCAATGTTCTGATTTTCATGCCACTTTTAGTAGTTTTAGGTACAGAGTCCCCTTCATCACGCGCTCCATTGGTGCGTATAAATGGATGTATTATTATTAACCACTGCTGTGTTCAAGTCGGTGGATCCATTAGGTCCACCCACAGGTTCGCTCGTGCCGGATAGATTAAACTAAGGCGATTGTTGTGAACCCTGCTAAGATTCTCTAAATTGTCAGGATCGTACGACCACACGGCACGAGGACAACTGTTTTCCTTTACACAGTATATTTCACTTCATCTGATAATTAACAATGAACACTAATAACACCAGCTATTTATAGCATGCAAAAACAGCGTACATGCAAAACATAAGCAGATAAAACTGGACATAACAGCGTATACAGCAAAACGCACACAACGCATATAGCGTATGCCATGCAGCAACATCAGCGGTACGGCGGAGTCGAAATACAACATTTCAACGAATACAATGCCATAAGCGCGAAGGCCTTTCCCAATTGAGAACTGGTGGTTTACAACATTCTCCCCACCAAAGGGCTTCTCACCGCCGTACAACAATGCACACAAGTCAAAAACGATCCGGGGCTCTGACTACGCGCCCAGAACGCGTTATCTCCTGCTGCCGTGGTGGTGGTAATGGTGCTGACGGTTCATACGCTGGCTGCTGAGGGACGATAGCAGGTTGAGCGGTATCTGCAAGCCCAGGAGCCACGTCCTGTGACGATACTTCTAACGGCACTAACCTTTGGATCGGCCTCAACAGGGTACTGGTACTCAACTTAACCTTGGCAACACGACGCTTACCATCTCGACCAGGGAATAACTCGATGATCCGTCCCAAACGCCAGAACTGTTTGCGCTTGGTATCATCGAGAACAAAGACAACATCACCCACAGCTACAGGGCGCGACATGGTCTGTTGGTGTTTGTTCAGCTGACTTAGGTACTCCACCTCCCAACGATTCTTGACATGCTCCAGTGTCCGACTGAGGTAACGCAATCTCGATGACATCTGCGCAGCGTCCAGGGTACCTGCTGGCTTCTCTGACGACATCCAGATGTCACCCATCATCATTGCAGGGGTTACTGGTGGCTCATCCAGGCTATCAGACACATAAGTTAGCGGACGACTATTCACCACTGCTTCAACCTCATACAAGAGGGTCTCAAGCTCCTGGATCTTCAGAAACGCTGTTCCCATTACCTTTTTCAAGGCACTCTTCACTGTACCAACCATTCGCTCATAGAAGCCTCCATGCCATGGTGCAGATGGAGGATTGAACATCCATGGCACACCCAGTTTGTCAGATGCCGCCTTGAACGTTGTAGCGTTGTCAGACCTGATCCGAGACGGCAAACTACGTCTCGCGACAAACTTCCGAAATGCCATCAAGAATGACTCGGTACTTAAACTATCGACCACCTCCAAGTGAACTGCTCTGGTGGTGGCACACACAAACAATGCTATCCATACCTTCGGAGATGACTCACCACGGCGCACGTACAACGGACCAGCATAGTCGATGCCGGTAGTTGCGAACGGCCTCTCGTGAACAACTCGGTCTTCCGGCAGCGGCGGGCAGACTTCTGAGGCAGCCTTAGCCTTGTAGCGGCGGCATGTAACACATCGCTGAGTAATGTTGCGTAGCGCCCGTCGACCACCGATAATCCAGAATTTCTGCCGGATGAACGACAAGACTCCTTCTACACCTTGGTGCATCCTTTCAACATGCATTTTCTCCAACAGCAACTCGGTCAGATGATGTTTGCCTAACAGGACTGGGTGCTTGGCTCCATACGCCAACTCGCTGTGCTGAAGTCGTCCCCCGGCTCTGAGCACTCCATGCTCATCCAGAAACGGTGCAAGCTGATACACCTTCGACCCAGGCTTCACTGGTTGACCTTGCTTGATCAGCTCAAGATCCTCAGCGAAACATGCGGCTTGAACGATGCGGTACAATACGTTGTCTGCTGCAAAATAGAGTTCAGCACGAGGCTCAGTGTGCTTCCACTGCAACATCCGAGTCACCATGCCCTGTGCCCTCGACCATTAATCGGAGCCACCATTCCTTATCAGATTCTCGACTACAGGTGGTGGCTGACACTCGTACTTCTACACTGGACTCATCTGT